AGATTTTGGTAGCCCGACTGGAAAAATCGCTAGCCCCGGGACGTCGGGCTAACGATTTTGCGAGCCCTGTGACACCATACTGAAGCCAACTCAAACTCAACTCAAAGGACTTTTTGGCCTCTATTGGTGCACTCCTGAATAAGTCTGAAGTTGGAATTGCCAAATTCCCAGTGAGCATTTGAATCAGCAGAGTCCACTCAACTCAGATTTCCCACTCACAAAGTTGGACCACCCAAGAAACTGCAGTCTAAAAAGTATTCATGTTTTGGGGGGCTCTTTAGCCTTTACTTCACTAGAACGGTGAAGATAAGAAAGAAGTGCAAACAGAGAAAGGCACACAGTAAAAACCAGAAAAACAATTATTTCTAGTCTTCTGGAATTTTCTTTCCCATCTGTGAGCACACACAATCAACAATGTTTCAGGAACAGACACATCTTATCTTAAAACCCAAAGTCACTATCTCCTCACCACATTTTCATCTCGTTCACCATCCCTTTTATCTTAAAAAGAAGATGGCTTGATTGAAAGCTATCTTCTTTACTTGATTTATAAATAAAAAAGACTATTTTAAAGGATGAATCATGAAATTTTCTGTATGTGAAAAGGAAACTTCTTAAAATAATGGACCCTATCTTCCTTCCTTTTAAGTTAACCTTAAGATCAGCCTGTTACTTTTCCTCTATCACGAGCACAGCGTACAAATACTGATTAAACATTGTGAACTTTATCTTTGCCCACCTTGGATAACCAAGATGTCCAGATTACGCAAACTTCCAACTTGCAGCTTGTGGCAAAGGATGGGGACAAGCCTGAACCTCACCAGGGAATGCCGCCAAACAGGCTCTGTGACAGCTTGCTATACGTACTGTACCAGATGTGATCCCTACTGGGCTTATGTTTGTTTTGAATACCAGAGGTTTTGATTCCCTCAGGCAAAACTGAAACAATTTTGCTGTAAGTAATGTGTGTTCGCTTCTCACATAAAAACATTGCTGGGTAAAACAAAAACAAATCACTGCTGCTGGTTTTCTCACCATTAAATCTAACTGACTGATTGCAGTCAGTCCAGGCCGCCGGTTTCTGTCGACCTGTGTCAAGAGGACACAGAGATGGAAATCTAGTGTTATTTCTATTGTGAATCAAAGCTTACATGGTTGTGGTGGAGGTGGAGGTTGAGTGAGAGGCTGAAAAGCTTGAGTCAGACTGAAGTCAAGACAAACAAGTCCACACCTTGAATTTTGTGTGCTAAATGAGCTATGGCAGTCTTTTAGGTTCTCTACGTGAGCAACACAGAGGTTATCTGTAACTTCTTTGTTGTTCGTTGCACGTAAGATGCCAACATGTTTGGA